CCCCTGGCAAGTGCTTACAACAGTCTCTCATCCTAGAAAACTACTTCATTAAAGTCTCAAAGTATTGAGAGTCTATAGAACTTCTCCAGTTACTACCATTCTTGTCAATCAGTGGTTTTAAACCATGAAAAAAATGCAACTACCTGAACTCATGACACAGGCACAAGTAACTGCATGTGTTGCTCATTCCCATCATTAGAAAAGGGAAAATCCAGATCCCTCAGGTGGCTGAGAAATTTGCCACTGGATTCAGTTGTTGAAGATTTCCCTCCAGCTTCTTTTTTAAGAGCACTCAAAGGTATTTAGAGTCCAGATGTGGGAACTGTCACAGAGCAGTTAGGTTTTGCTGGCAAAGACCCATCAGCAGTTCCTATATATGAATCATACCAGTACTTTTGCTCCTGATGTTCATAACTTGTTAGCCGCAAGATTAAGCCTGGGTTGTTTATAGGTAAGACTGACCTGAGGAATTGGAATCTGTTGGGCATGCTTACAAAGGGGCATGAGGTGGGGTTTGACTTTCCTCTTTGAATGTTTAATGCACCTAAGCATGTTTCTTGTTCATGTGGCATCATCTTCACATTCTGCTCACAGACAGAGGACTACAGGTGAGCTGCGCTCTTTCAAAACCAGCTGACAACTCAGAACGTGGACTCTCTGAAAACTCTGCAATAAAGCCTGTATTTATGTAAGCTAGTCTAAGACTAAACTAAACTTAAACTAAACTAAATCTAGCTTACTAGGTAAGCTAGTTTTTTAACTAAGCTTACTTACTTTTAAGTAAGCTTACCCTAGTATGAAGCTGATGTGTAAGAAAGATCAGTCTAAATCTTCAGTAGTTCTAACACTGTGATTTAACTTTGTTTTGTAGGGGAGGAACAATGAGGAAATAAATTTCTTTTCAAAAGTTAGCCTTTAGGTAAAAATCTAATGTATGATGGAGGAAGGAAGGCAGGGAAAGAAAATGGTCTGGAAGACAACTTCAAGCAGCTTTAAATCCAGTTTTGGTGAGCTAAATCTTCAGGCAGACTAAATCTTGCTATTGCAGGCAAGACAGATGGCAATCTATTGAACACCAAATCCTGATACTTCCTGTACTCAAATGACATACACGCAGGCACCTTGCCCACAGCAGTCAGTAACGAGTGCTTTCAGGGCGCAACTTCGGCCTTGGTTAGCAATGTCTGATCATTGCAGTCTCCTGGACTGCAGCAGGTATGCAGGTGGTGATTTGGTGGCACATGAGAAGGTTTAGGGATGATTCACCATCACCTCACTAAAAATAAGTGCAGTATTTAAAGCAGGAGGAGAGGCTTAAAATGGTAAGTGCTACAGGTGCAGCTTTTAAGCATATTGGCATTTGCAAATTGAAAATAAAAAGCTCAGTTTGTGACGAAGAATTGGGCAATCATAAATGGACACCTCTTCAGCCTTCCTGTAGTAACACATAAACATGTTGTTGCACCTGTTCTGCATACAATGTGTAATTCTGTAAAAACACATACAGGGCTGTATTTATTGAACATGTTTAAATGCAATATTTCATGTTTAGGGTAAAAGCAAAGATTTTATATTCTGTGATGTATTGATTCCTTTCCTGAAGCTGGTTTTCTCTTAAAGGTGGCCATATTTCTCCTTGTATGGTTTTTGATTCCCAAATGTGTCTAGGTCTTCTCCATAGAAGACAATGTTCCTTCTTGTGCTGTTATTGTATAGCAGCAATATGTTCTCTGACTTCTAACAATGAAGACAGCCTACACCTACATGAACAAATGAAAAGCTGAGCTGACCTTCTGTTTGGTGACCGCCAGTTTCTGTAACTATAAATCTAGTATGAAAGTCAAAGCATTTTTAACTTTTAGAGCTGATGTAAAAATTCTGTGCTGTTGTATAAATCAGTTGTATAAATCAGTTCAGACTGTCCTATATACCACTTGTCATTACTTATTTCATTAGAAATTTGCATTAGAAAAATGCCATGGGCATTTCTACGCAGAGCTGCAAAGATTCAAACCTGACGCGTTTTCTAAATATATCACAGATGAAACCCCTATATATTCAGAAGCATTTCACTGCATACTTTTGAAGGGCAAATTATCTTTCTTTCACAGCTGCCCACGACACAAAGTCTGCATTTGCTACAGTAGTCCCCGAGCGCCTTGTCCTGACTGGAGTCCATGCCCTGACACAGCTCCAGGGAATATGAGCTAATGCACACTCTCAGGTTGTGTCTCAGGATGAACTAGTGTGGTTGTAAGTCAGGGTGAGTTGTACCAGAACTAAATGCAGCTACTCCCTCCTGTATTCAACTCTCACACTCTCACATCTCTACCGAGGTCCCACTAACAGTGGCAACAACTGGGGCATGTCCCTCTTGTAGTTGCTATCTGGCACTGGATTCCCCGTGTAGCTGAGAACTTGGAAAATGTTACGGTGCTGCCAGTGGTTTCTGGACTCGTAAGGCAATTACTTTCACCCCTGTTCCAGGGTTTGTCCTGCTTGGCACCAGTGTTGTACAGTGGTATTATGTCCAAATGTGTAGGTTGTTAAGCAAAAATTTTAGCAAGGATTTTACTAAACTCACTGCACAGCATCAGGTTCCAAAGTTCATGTACTGAAGTTTGAAACACTAAAGATCGCTGTAAATCATTCAGCAAATGAGGAAGTTATTTTTCTACATATCTTTCATATCTTTTCCTTCATATCTTTCAGTAGGATGGTTGCAATCCTGACCCATTCCAATAATTCTGGGTAACCTATCAGACTTTGCAATACTGTTTGGCTGAAGTATTTTTTTTTAGCTACACACTTATGTATGACTGAGTACGTAAAAAGATTTTTGCTTTTTTAAGGTTTAATTTTTTTCTACAAATAATTCCTGTTAACTTAAAAAATATATGTCACTGTTTTCTTTCAGGCATGCACTCAATCTAGGACTGATGATATGTTCTCCTTCAAATGTTCACCTTTAGTAACCAGTGATGAATACTTAATAAAAGTAGTTTCAACACCCTCGCAAAAAGTTAGGTTTAACAGCCTTTAAAAAAGGACTTTTACAGAGATGTTGCATTTTGAAATTAGGGTTATTATATAAATACATATATTAAAGAGAAAGCTTGTCAAAGACCGAAGACCCATGAGTGAAAAAAAAAAAAGTTTTTAGACTCTAAGTTGAAACTGTTCAGGCATCAAAAAAAAAAAATTATACTCTTCAAAAGAAAAGGAAAGAAGGCAACAAAATTACAAGATGACTAAGTAGAAAAACTCAACAGAATATTTAAGGTGTCTTTCAGAAATGGAATATTCAACAACTTGTAGCCAGCAGAAACCTACTTTGTAAATTTAAACAGTACTTGTGCAAAGACAAAAAAAAAATTAAGATGTTAACCATAACCACGCTTAATGTACGCCTTTGAGAGCATCCAAGGGTATGTTAAACTACAGGGTAGATATGCCAAAAAAATGCAGTGAAGCAAAACTGCATTTACTCTTTTTTTGAAAGGATGCTGGCATGATAGTTAAATTTCTCCATGTAATAAACTTGTAGGATCAAAAGGGAAAATGATATACAAGAGGAAAGGAGTTAAAAGTAAAGAGGTTGAAATACTAATAAAAAAAGCTACTCTTTCATGGAAATTAGCTCCTGTGCCAGGAAACACAGGGTCTATCATCATCTTAACCCACCAGTACCTGTCATTCTGCGAGGAAGACCTGACCACCAGGCTGATGCTCTCTGGCAGACCATACAGTCCCTTGGTTGATGGGCGCTGTGGTTACAAATCCATGACAAATGGGAGCACCAGCTCTCTGAAAGACTGCAGGGCCTTCCCTCCAACTCATCTGCAAAACTCTGTCCTCTTCACCCCCTGCCCCCTTAGAGTGGTCCTCTGACACAGGTATGTTCCCTGCATTTTAGAAACAGCAGGTCCAATAAAAATCCCTCCTTGATGAGCTCCTCTCACGTGTGTCATCCTCAGGGGTAACTCTGTTGGTCTGCATGCAAGGGATGCCCAAGGAAGAGGCAATAGCTGACCCCTTATTGGACAGCAACTGTATCTTAACTGATGTTATTTTTCCTGGAATAATGTATGTTGAAAGAGACTGTCCCAGAGTAAACTATTATCCAGTATTATAAAACTCCAAAAGGCTTCAGTTTGGTGTTAATGCAGTGACAAGCACTTGGAGAAGTCATTTAATGATCTAAGCAAAGTTACAAATAGATACGAGTAAATAGCATGTGTGGGAGTAAAGATTTAAGCATGAATAATATTTACAGTAACTAAAGATAACATTACTAATGTACCCACAAATAGAAGTATATATTTATATATTTATATATTGTACTTAATTAGATGCTCTATTAACGGAAAGAAAAACAAGACTACTACTGTTGTTCGTTTCTCACCTATCCTATTGTAAATGCCTTCAAAGGGACCAACTGGTATACGGAAATTCAGAGCTAAATCTGTTTCAGCGAAGTAATTGACAGTGGCAAACCTCTGAAGAAGTTTAGAAGAGGACAGATAAAAACATTAGGACGTGGGACTCAATCTTACGTAATTCATAAAACAAAATTATACATCTGTTTCTTTTTTTTCCTTCTTTTTTCCCCTTTTGATTTCTACTTGGATAGAGGTTCCACTAAGCCACAAATGAGATATAACAAAATTTAGATTGTTTTGTTTTCTTCTAAAGATTCAAATATAAACTTCAAGTGCAATTCAAAATCCAAATATTATTTATACTACATACTTCTTTCTACAACAGAACTTATCTGCAGGTAGTTTAATCAGATTTGAATAGATTCCTTCTTTGCTTTGATGAAAGTTATTGTCGATGAAAAATAAAAAGCTAGAAAGAATATTTTCTACATAATCTAAATTCAAATAGAAAGTGAAGATACATGAGTGCAGACACAAATCTGGATCTTCAAGTAGATGCACTCAGGGATGCACAATTTTTTTGGTAGTAAAAATCCCATTCAGAACATTGGCTTTTAACAATTATAAACATTATAGGTATTCTTCAATATACAATTGAAAACAAAGACTGCAAAAAAGAGCCTTCAAATTAGCAAATGTGTCTACTATGGAGGAAAGACAATGTTTGACAGGAATGCAAAGTAGCCAAAAATTGAATACCATTAGACTATTTGTATGGTCGTAGAAATCTGGAAACTTTTGATCGCAGCAGCTTTATAAATGATCTTGGAAACATCTCTTTTGACTCTTGTGCTGTGTACTTGAAATAGTTTTGTGGGTGTGCCAGTACATCAAAGAGAGCTTTAATCAGTTTCTTGTCCTATGAGAGACAACATGTATGTATATTAGCCAAAAATAGAGTTTGGATTTAGTGTCTGCACAACTTTCAAAATTAATGAACAGCAATCAGGGTTTTTTTTTTTGCAAAACTTGATTCTGGGTAAAACAGCGTGAGGAAATTACTCTACGTTGCTGTGGATTTTTATACTGGTAAATCTTTCTACTGTATGGAATTTTTTTTGCAATTTGTATTCCTAGAAGGTCCTGAAGTGAGAAGGTGGCAGCTGGGTTAACCATCAACTGGCAGCAGAAGTTAGGCAGCAGAATTGCAAACTGCCTCTGACTGCCCTTCCAGCCTATTCCACACTGCTGTCCACAGGGCCTTACTTTCCCAAACAAGAGAGAAGGCTGGTCTTCAGCGATGCTGAGCTCTTTAAGGACCTTCTCCTGTACCTTGGTAAACTCTTGATTCAGAGCCTCAGCTGAGCCTGTACCTGACCCTATACACTGCAGCTGGGACCTGAGCGACCTCAAAGCTCTAGTGAGAGAAAACGCAGGGCTGGCCGGGGCAGCTGGCTGTTAATCAGTTCCTGTCCTTCCAAGCCATACATTTACACAGCTGAATTTGCCTTCTGAACAGCCTTTTTTCAGTTTTAATTAGTTAGTTGTGATAGGTGGCAGGACAGCAGCCTTCCTCTGCAATTCTCTCTCAACATGTTGCTTGTGCCTTTGCAAAACCATTCCATGGACAGCTTACAATGCTACATTATGGTTATGTCTTGTTGAGGCAGGAGAGTGATTTAGGTAAATACATTTTTTAATGCACAGGAAATTCTAACTTAATGACTCATTCAAACACATGCCAGACTGAGGGTGAAGAAAGCTTTTCAAACAGAGATTCTTCATTCTTGGTTGACTAATTTTTCTAATATACAATCATGTTAGCATACATTTAGTTCCTGATTCAGAAAAAGACATATGCATGTGCCTAGCCCAGCTAAACTACTGATTTTCTTCTGCTCCGAATATCAGTATAAACCTCAGAAGACAGTGAATTTAATTTGGGGTCACACTTGAAGTTTAAATATTATGACCCTATCAGGGTAATAATACCTATCAGGGTAATGAGAACTATCTTGGGAAAATAACTTAGTAAAAGGAATTCTTGGTTAGCCTCAGGTAAAGCAGAATTTTCTTACCTTTAGAATTTCTTGATGATTTTCTGATGCATATAATCGTCCGTCTCGAACAATATCTTCTATTAGTTGTTGATAATCCTCTGAAAAACAAAGATCAGTTGAGTAACTGTGGCATCCTTTGGGAGGAGAATAGCCAGACATTAGCTAGACCTCCTCTTCAAGACAGAGCTGAGCAATTTAGTATCCAGTTAATTATTCAGTGTCTCTCAAGCTACTGTAGTCTAATCTAATCACATTAAAATTCCGTACTGCTTTAGAACAGTAATTTTGAATTATCCATATAAGTATTAACTTAACCCCAAAACAATGGCTACTCCCTCCAGATAATAATGCTTTATTGTCTGCTTTAGAGGTGAAGAAACAGGACCAGCGATATGAAGTAACTGTCAAAGGTTATATGCGAAGTCAGCAGCAGAGTCAGGAACAGATTCTTGTTTTCTGCCCTGATAACAGCTCTCATTCCTGAAAGGAATACTGATTCAATACCGATTTTCTCATCGTTCACAAAATTGCACTGGTGTTTGGAAAAGAGACGGACTAACAGCTGCCAAAGGTATCACAGAAAAGTTTTTGTTTCATTAAAAAGGAAATAACTTTAAAGTCCAAAATAGACAGTTTAACGCATAATTTATATGACAAGCCGGACTGTTTTAAAATGTGGGTTTATGAAAGTGGTTACTGAAAGGATATTTCTTTTTGCATCATTGTTTTTCTGTGTTGGACTTGTGATTTTATTAATTTATAGTTTTCAAAATTGTATGTGTTACTAGTAGGACTTGATGAAGGGCCTTCCTAAAATGCACAGCAATAAATGGTATTCTCATTATGCATATGATAAATGCCAATTAAAAGGAGTCTCGTTGAATTCAGTGGGATAAGGATTAAGTTTAAAGACTTCCGTGTAACTTGCTGCCCCTTAAAGTATTAGGAAAAGTAATAAAAATAAAATCAAGTATTATTTCAAAGTCTTTGCAACTGGTTTTAAAGTAATTCACTGGACTAAAAAGGAGTTACATCAAATTTTTCCTTATTTTTCTCTCCCTGTAATCAGTGTAAGAGAGATTCTAAAGGACAATTTTCTGTAATTCAGATATAACACAAAGATGGAAAACAACCCCGTTCTCACCATCGTAAGTCACATAGGGGACCTGAAATCCTTTGCCACTGTTTCCTTCATTTGACTTGAACTGAATCCAGAGCTTCCTCGATCTTGAGGTAAATGCAATAGGTCTCTCGTAAGTCTGACATGTTTCATATGTAGTAATTGAAGTAGGAGAAGCTAGAAAGAAGGTTAAATAAAGAAATGCTCTTTATAAAATAACTTTTTGCACCCTTCCTGATCTAGAGGTCAGAAATATCAAATTGACAAGACACTTCTCAGATGACGTATTCCTGAGAGCAGAATTTTTTCGCAATACCAGGGATGTAGTCTTTATCTGTCTATAAGGAGAAGTAAGTTTTTCCACAAAGGTAACGGGAACCCCTCTGTCCCTCAGCAAGAAGCTTACGTAGACAGCGAGATGCCAGAGAGAATTTTTGACATTTATAAAATTACTATTAATATTACTTATTTCGTGTACTACTCTAGCAATGAATTCCAGGGTTCCCATATGCTGGGCCCAGATAGGTAAGAACAAGGCAGCTGCACCCTGGGCAGGTGTGGTAACCAGCTTCTTATGTGCTCAGTTTGGGGAGTTCATCTGACAGCAATAAACCTCTTATCAGAATGTAGTACCCTGGTGTAGGGATTCTGACCAAAAGACCATCGCGCACTGGGGAGTTAGCGATCCACAGAGCAGTTAACTTGGGTATGGCCAGGCCTGTGCTGCGCTGCGCGTCCAGCGTGGCCTTCAGGCCTGTGTTGTGCTGCACAAATCCCATGGCTGCAGGGTAAACCCTCAGCCTCCTCATTGTAACGAGAGGAACTTGCAGGCAGCTCCCACTTGGTACCGGGGATTATGCTACTGTGTGGCCTTGCCTTTACCTAAAAGTGCAGCAAGAAGTGCTCATGAGAACATTATTTATCATTTCTACTGCCAAACAGAACCAGAGTTGTTTCCTTGTAAGAAAATCGTGTAATTTCAAATGACTGAGAGGGCAAAATCTCTTCTATGGACAGGTTCTGCCCAGCATGCTGCGTGTGGATCAGAGGCCCGTTCAATGCTATGCTGCCTATTGTTCCTACCATCTAAAGGGATGTAGGATTAGCTACACTATTTTCTCCTTATAATGATAGCTCTGATAAATAGCATTTTAAATGATACCTTACTAACTCTCAGTGCCATAACGGACCAGCACCTCCCAGTGCAAAACACCTGGTTGTAGGTTTGGGGGAAAAAAAAAAGAAGTAATTTATCTACACTTAAAACAGAGCTAATAGCTGGGAACCAGAAAGTCTCCCATTTGCCCCTTAATGTAAGTAACAGATGGAGGGTGCAGGATGTCTTCAAATCATTATGAATGTATCACAAGGCTGCTCTGAGCTGAAAGGCATTTCAAACAGAAGGAAAAAACCAGCTTCTTACCTAGTTCAAAAAAATCACTCCCTAGCCACAGGATAATTAGGGAAATCAAGTATATATAACAAGTATAACCTAATATCTGACCTTGCTAGGGCTGATTCAACTTTCACTGATGTTAGCAGAGAGAGAGGGACTTTTCAAACTGAATGGGATGTGGATTCTTGAAGTGCAAAAAAGTGGATCTAACTGTAACTCTGGAACTGCCATCGGTTTTTCCACAGTAACATTAGCAGCTGACCGTACATGAACTATGATAAATATTCATAAGATCTACTCTTATGATGCCAAACATGCAGTGATCACAAAACATGACTCTGAAAAACTGCCCTCATTTTCCAGTGTTGTTGTTGTTTTGGTACTGTTATCTGTACTAAAGTGGAAGTCAGGCCCTGATGTGCCTGGCTTTACTCATTGTTGGAACCACAGTTTGAGATTAGAAGTACAACTGATTTGTTTTGCTACAGTAAGTGCTTTGCTTTTAAAAAATTGATCTGGACAGATATAATTTCCTTCCACCTATAGTGAGCAAGTTTCTTCTTCTGATATATAGAGATGTCAACACAAGCCCTCAAGGATAAGAAGTTGTGAAAATTGTTTTAGCAAATAAAATACACTGTTTTAGCAAGTAAAAAAAACGTTGCTTTAAACAAAGCTCCATATAAACAATTGCCTTCCAGGTTTGGTGTGTCTTGGGAGATTTAGCAAGAGATCACCAGAAGCTGGATGCCTACACAGGACTGAAGGAGGAGTGCATCTCATTGGTGTCTTGAAGTTGTTGAATTAACTTCCTAATCAAAGACACAGTGCACCCCCCACTCCACAGAAAATTGGGGAAAGCCTTGGATTTCTTGAGGGTGTCAGGTGTACCAACCTGTGTCACTGCACAGATTTAGCAATAACTGCAGCACATACATACTTTCAAAGGATAAGTGAGAGCACAGTTTGTACGGATGACAGGAGATAGCTCTCCCGATATAACTTAGCATAGCTTTGTTGACTTCTAGAGTGACAAGTGATTTACCTCACGTGGTAATTGGGCCAGACAGAAGCCCAGTGACTGCTCTGTGATTCAGCCAAGACACTTGAATAATTAATATCACTCTGTTAATTGTTATTGGTACCGTGTTCCGTTTTAACTTGCTGTGCCAGTTCATTCAACAATCCTTTTAGAAACACTGGATGGAAGAAGACAGTCCTCGCTTCAATATGAACTTACCACACAGTCAGTTTGCAATAAATATTTATATAACCCATGTCTGGCAACTTACCACTTTTTCTCATTACTAAAACATCACCGCATTCATCTTCAATGGGGAGAAATATCTCAGGTACTACGATGAGTATTCTCCTCTTTGGGGGTGGATTTATATTCCAAATGCATTCAACATTAGCTGGGTAGTCTCCAGGATAGTTGGGCGATTCAATGTAGCCAGTATAATCCCCAAGTTCTCCTCCACAGTGCTGGTCTGTGAAGAAACATAAATTAGCATTTGTGTTAGCTGATTAGCTAATTTGAGGTGTTATTCTAGATCTGTCAAGAGCAAGTCTAAACTCCTCCTGGTGGCTTCAGAAATGCATACATTCTCCAGCTGCCTCTTTGTTTAGCATGGAAAGCCTTTAAAGGAATACTTGATCTGCAGGGCTGCTCCAGCTGATTTGCAAAACCTTAATCTCCAGTGTACAAACTGGTTCAATGCTTCATTCGTGCTGCTGTAACATTTGATTAAGAAATGAACACAGCTAAGTAAACATGATCCCATTGTGGAGGTACTCACACAGTGGTTACCACTGAGACCATGCTGACATGCAGAAGATACTCTGATTTAACTTCACTTGTTTTTTGACTTGATTTAGCTGAATGAGTGTGATGATCCTAATAGGCAACCTTATCCTGATTGCAGATCAGCCTTACTTTATCTTAAACCAGTTAATAATAAATCTCCATTGATGGATCAGTTTTACTTTCAGAGTTTTCAAAACTCCTATTGAATTTGCCACAGAAGCCTGATTCCATAAATTACTTAAGCTTAATGTCTCCAGGCCTACTCACCCACATAAAACTAGATTTTTTTTACATTTTCTTACATTAGCATAGTAGAGATGAAAAAAATGGCTTGCCTAAAAGAATCAGTTGTTCACAAAAGATCAAATAAAACTGCACTGGGATCCTCATGGTGATTTAAAATGGTAACTGAAGATAGCAGGCTGAGTATGGCAAAAATGCTTATGAGGAGATTTCACTGTCATGAGCAATTACCTGGCAACGGCAGCATGTATGACCACATCTTCAAGTATTTTGTAATTATTATAAAGTGGCACTCACTCTGATAGAAGATGTTGTGCTCTACAGAGACACGAAGAAATATGCATCACTGCAGGACACCTTACAGGATCTGGGAAACCTAAAGCTCTGTAGTTTTAACTTGTAGTTGTCACTCTGCCAAGTTACACTACAGCTAAAACAATCATATGCATCAAGTGGTACTTTCACAGGTTTTTTTCCCCTCATTGTTTTCCCAATTTTTACGATTCCCTCTGGCAGCAGATGTAGGCTAACTAGGAAATACAGAGTTGAAGTCCAGCCTGACAGATGAAACCTTCAAGTTGCAGTTCAGATCTGAAGATAGGCTTCATCTCACAACTAATATAAATGCAACTTACTTTTGCAGTGCGTAACATTAGTGGAGCCATCAAAATCTGTACTTGTGTTCCCAGGGCAGGTGATGCAGTAGTTTTGACCAAACTCAGGCTGGTATGTCCCCACAGGGCATCGGATACACCTGTGTGTTGTGGAATTGTAGTAGTGTCCAGGAGAACAATGAACTGTAAGATATGAGGTATATTATTTTCAGAAAGTAGCAACCTTCAGTGCAAAGAGAACTTTCCTCTACCCTGGACATACCTCATGATCCCCATTCTGCAGTATAGTTAGGCCATAAAAGGCAAAAAAGATACCAGCTCCCTGTATTTCCCATCGCAAAGGACCTTCTAACTAGAATTATGTTCCAAAGACTAGAGCTAAACCCATATGAACTAGTAACACGTGCTACACGTGTCTCATTTCATTTAATACAGTTATTTCCAATGAGTTGGTAATAAATGGAAGCTGATGCATGGACCTGCCTCGACAATAGAAGCGCCTTTCACAATAGCAGGGAAGAGGTTTCCGTCAGTGTCTGTTTGCCAGGGCCAGCATGTCATTCCAGTAACTACACCAAAATGCACTGGGGTGGATTCCTTCTTCAGCATTTGCACTGGAAGCTGGCATTATGGACCACGCAACGTGTTGCATGCTTACAGTTTCTGCCTGGCCCATGAATAATCAATCCTTAACTTCATATAATTTCTGTAGTGGTTAGTTTTTCTAATTTGGTAAATAAAAATATAGAGGACGTGAAGGCTAAGGCATTGTCTAATGCAAGTTTGTCTCATTTCTTGCCATGCAGTGGTGCTGATTCACTTACCTGTTGCAGCACTGACTCTGTACCTGCCTGTGGTAAATTCCAAAGAAAACCATAAAGCCTGTTCAACCTCTGCAACCTCAGGAGATCATTCCTAGTTTACAGATTTCCTGACCATTTAACTTAATCACACACAGTGTTTCTACGTGCAGCGACTATGTTTGTACTGGAGCCTTTCAAAGCCCCTTGGCATTGAAGATTACAAAGG